TTATGTTGTGCTTTCTTTTCCTTCAAATGCTTTCCTGTCTTCTATTTAAATGACAAGTTTGCTTTCCAGAAAGCCCCTTTCCCAGCATGTAGGCTTGAAGATGCAGGGAGTGCCAAATGGCCCATAATTCCCTGTGCCATCCTGGAAGCTTGTATCTCTGGGGATGTCCCACGGGTACTGGACTCTGAAACAGTCAGGGCCTTTCCTTGAACCTTCGTTTTTTTTTTTTTTTTTTAGCAATACAAAAACAGTTTTTTATCCAATGTAAAAATTACTTGGCTCTGCTTTCCTTTCCCCAAATTCACCTTAAATCATCACTGTTCTGAACTGAGCCAAGGTATGGTTTGCCCCAGTGTGAGTTCACTGATGTTATCTGATTAGTAACAATGGCTTGATGAGTAAGGAGGGATGGCTGCTCAGAGCCTCGGGCAAAGTCCACACTGGCCTGTTCCCTCTGTGAGTTGACTCCACATGCCATCTTTAGCTTTTGGAAAACAATATTCCAGACATGAAATAAGAAACTATGAGTCACACAATAAATATAATACTAGCCTTGTGCCATGGCTGCTTTTATAGTATTGTGTTTTAGTACTTGTTTAATTATGTGTTTGCTACAAAAATTGGCAGTCTCGGCTTTCCTCTCAATGTAAACAAAATAATATTGCTTTAATTCCTTTGCTACTTATCGCCATAATAGTAGACACTTTTTTTTTCCCCGAGTTTCGACTTCTAAGCAGTTTTACAATGAAAAGTCTTCAAGGAAGCTTTTTTTTTTTTTAAAAGTCTATTTTTCCTTGTAATAAATCAAAGGAGATGAAATGGATGTTCATTTCAAATGTAAACATGCTCCTGCATTGCTAGGAAGAAAAGTATTGTAACTGAGAAAGAATTTTATGGACAGGCCTTTTCATAACACATCTGGTGGCTTGGCAGTCCAGGGTCTAGACCTTGCCTTTGGCAGTCCAGAAAGTTGATTTCTTCAGCTCACTGGGCAATTGAGTGAACTCGGGCAATGGCCTTTGTTAGCTGGTCTATACATTTTCTCCACTGCAGTAGCCTATGTGGGAAGCCAGATGATAATCAGAATTCTTCCTGGTGGACCTGAGATCAGAGCCAGAGGGGGAGCTGGGTGGTCTGGATGGCATGTATCACACAGCCCCGGGCTGGACATCCTCCCCACCCCAGACTGTGTTGTGGAGCAGAGCTGGTCACTCCTCCTCTGGGTTGGTGAGGCTGCTTCTCAAGCCAGTTCCATGGGAGATAGTGAGTATGAACAGTCTGTCTTATTAAAACACAAGGACAAACCCCTGAAGGCTTGAGTGGAGAAGCACTCTGGAAGACAAGACTGTGCATGGAGGGACTGGCTGTCTTTCTGGAGCCTTCGACTCATTCCAGTTCCCTGACTTTGATTTTGGGTGTTCACCACCATCTCCTGACCCAAGGCATATCAGGCTCTCTAAAACATTGGCCAGATAAAGACAAACAGCAGATCTTTCTTTTGTCATCGGCATTGCTGAGATAGGCTGGAATAGTCAGCGGATATATTATTAAAATTAAGAGAAAACTGAAGGATAACGAACACATACCCAAACTGTAAAAGCATCGGGCCAATGAAGGATAGACTTCTGTACCTGAGCGTGGTGCAAAAGGTTAGGAAATGTACACAAACTGTTAATGATGATCAGGTTAAACAGTGACTTCAGTTTTTAAAGAAATGCTCTTTCAACGACTACTGCTTTTTTCAAAGCCTCTCTATTTCAGGAGGCTACAGGATAATAGCTCACATATCCCATATTATCCTTATCTGCTCTGGCAGCTGACTAACTCATTTTAACAGATTTTTGTACATTTTTGTTTTGAGACAGGGTCTTGCTATGTAGTTCAGGCTGGCCTTGAACTCACAGAAATCCTGCCTCAGATTCCTAAGTGCTGGGAGAATCGAACCAGTTCTAACATTGACCCCCAATCCTGGGGGTACTTCACAAAGCCCCGGATATACTGATTACCAAATAAGTACACCAGACTCATAGGAATGATTTCTTTTATTGGTGTATTCAGTCACAATATGAAAGCATTTTTAAAAATAGTCAATATTATTTTCAGTAAATTGCAGCCATTGTTTTTGGTATTCAAATTGTTTCATCTTTGGCCAATTGGAGCCTGTTTATGTGTTCTTCTGACAAGATGCCATTAAGTTTGGAGACTTCCTTTCTGAGTTCATCAAGATGTTTCAGACTCATCTTGTCACATTCTTCTGGTCTAGCCCTGGAATCAGTCATTCCTCAAAAGAGCCTTTGTTCCTTTTAGTGAAGAAATGGTTTTTAGGGACCACAACCTGGGTGCTGGTTCATTGCTGCAGAGTTGTCTGTTCTTCTGAACTGACTTATTGAGTTCATACTAGAATTTTCAATTTAAATATATTATAATATTTTAAAGAACATTTAATTTTTTATTGTATTTTTCATTACACCCAAAACATTTTGGTTCCATTTGGCATTAATACAATTATTTATTTGCTTTATCTTATTGTGAATATGAAGATTAAAAACGAATAACAATACCACTAAAATTTAAGATTTCTTTGTGGTTCTATTTGCCCTTGGAATATATAGCACTGTTGATATAAAGTAAAAAAAGGTGTGTCAATGTAATTGTTTTTTTTCTATGTTCTTATACTATCAACAGGATATTTGGTTTCATTTTTCTTTCATTTTTACTTTTTAAGAGTTTAATTTTTAAAATTTGTAATTATTAATATAACATTATTATAGTTAAAACTATATAAGGGAAATCCAGAGAAGTCACACTGTTCCTTGTTTCCACACTGTTCCCTTCCCTGTAAGTTTTAAAAATATATTTTTATTGGTGCTTATTAATTTTATAAAATATTGGTTTTCAAGGTGATATTTTCATATGTGTGCATATTTGAACATATCCATCCCCCTGTATCCCTCCCTTCTACCCCCTTCATTCTCTTCCTCTTGCCTAATAATAATCTCCCTTCTATCTTCATGTCATCTTTTTTAAGATTCTACATACTAGGGAAAACATGTGATACGTGTCTTTTTGAGTCTGGCTTATTTCACTTAATGTGATGATCTCCAGTTCTATTCATTTGCCTGTGAATTACACGATTTCATTCTTTACAGCTGAATAATACTCCACTGTATACATACCATATTTTCTTTATCCAGTCATCTGTTGATTGGCATCTAGGCTGGTTCCATATCTTGGCTGTTGTGAATTGTGAAAACACAGGTATGCAGTTATCTCAGTAGATGCTGACTTTAATTTATGTACCAAGGAGTGGTATAGCTGGGTCATATGATAATTCTACTTTTAGTTTTATACTGATTTTCATAGTGGCCTCTATTAATTTACATTCCTACCAGCACTGTGGAAGGGTTCATTTTTTCCTACATTTTTTTGGAGACAGGATCTCATTATGTAGTTCAGATTGGCCTTGAACTCACTATGTAGCCTCTGCTGGCTTCAAACTCAGTGATCCTCCCCCTCAGCCTCCCAAGTGCTGGGATCACAGGCATGTGCCACCACACCGGACTTTCCCTGCACCTTTGCCAAGTGTTTTTTTTGTATTCTTTTTTTGGTACCAGGGATCAAACTTGGGACCTTGTGCTTGGGAGGCAGGCAGCGGAACCACTGAGCTAAATCCTCAGCCCATATATATATGTATGTATGTATGTATGTATATATATATATATATATATATATATATTTTTTTTTTTTGTATTCTTGAGGATAGCCATTCTGACAAGTGGAATCTCAATGTAGTTTTGATTTCCATTTTCTTAATGGCTAAAGATACTGAACATTTTTTTGGTATACTTATTGGCTGTTTATTTCTTTTAAGAAGTGTTCAGTTCATTTGCCCATTTATTGATTAGTGACTTGATTTTTTTTTTGGTGTTATGTTTCTCCAGTTCTTTATATATTTTAGATATTAATCCTCCATTGGAAGAGTAACAGGCAAAGATTTTCTCCTATTCTTTAGGCTGTCTCTTCACTCTGTTGGTTGTTTCTCTTACTGCGAAGAAACTTTTTACTATATATATATATTTTTTTACTTTTTACTATATATATATTTTTTTACTCTCTCTCTCTCTCTCTCTCTCTCTCTCTCTCTCTCTCTATATATATATATATTTTGGTACCAGGGATCGAACTCGGATCCTTGTGCTTGCGCAGCAGGCGGCGAAACCATTGAGTTAAATCCCTGGCCCAGAATTTTTTTCACTATATATATTTTTTTTCGAAGAAACTTTTTTAGTTTTAAATTTTTTTTCGAAGAAACTTTTTAATATGATGTCCTTTTTTTTTTTGATTCTATTTCTTGAGCTATTGAAATTCTACTTTGCCTGTGTCTATGGATGCTTTCAAGTGTTTCCCCTATGTTTTCTTCTAGCAGTTTCATCCCCATGTTTAAAAAATTTAGTTTAGGGTTTATTAACCACTGTTTCTTTTTCTCAAGATTAGCAAATGCAAATATGTTTATATCCCCCACACCTTCCCCCACTCATTCATTTTTATGATAAATACTCCATTGTAGTTTAAGAATGGCTTTTTAAAAAACAGTAGTGATGATTAATACTAGTTCAGAACTATTGAAGTTCTGGAGAGATGAGGAAACACTTGTTTTTAAAACGGGAACACTTTTCAAGAAATATATTCCCCCCCCCAAGGGAAACAACCATTAAAAAAAAAAGGTCTCTTTAACATGCCCTCCACGCCTCCCCAGGCAGCGAGGCAAGTTTAACGCAGTTTGAGATGAAGCTTGTGCATCGCCATCTGCCAGCTTTTAGGCCGCGCTGTAGTCACACCCGAGGCTGCTCTGCTGAGGTGATCTGTAACTCGAGGCTCGCGCTCTTTGGAGGCCCCTCCAGCCTCTCTCACGGGACAGACGCGGAGATCTTGGCCTCTGTTTCCGGGGTCTGCAGACTCCGGGCTCTGGGGCTGCCGGCCCGGGCGCCCCGCCTGCTCGCTGCGAGGCCGGGCTCGGGCTCGGGGGCGGGAGCGCCGCCTCCCTTTCCGCGCTGGCTGGCTCTCGCCCTCCCTCCCCGCCCCAAGCCCTCTCCCGCCTCAGCTGTGCAGGCTCCGCACTGCAGATGCCCGCCCGCCTCCCCAAGCTCGGCGGCTCCCGCGGTGCCTCGCTGGCCCCCGCGATCCCCGAGAGCCGTGTGAGCTCTTGCTGCGCCGCGGGGACCCTCGCCTGCCCGGACGCGCAGAGTCCTGCGCGCAAAGCCACTCCGCCCGCGGGTCAGCGGGGACCGAAGCCCGGGTCGCCCTCGGATGCGGCAGGACAAGCTGACCGGTTCCCTGAAGCGCGGGGGGAGATGTCTGAAGCGGCAAGGCGGCGGCGGCGGCGGCGGCGGCGGCGTGGGCACCATCCTGAGCAATGTCCTCAAGAAGCGCAGCTGCATCTCGCGGACCGCACCCCGGCTGCTCTGCACTCTGGAGCCGGGTGAGGACGCAGGGCTGCCGAAGGGGCGCCGGGAGCCCGGGAGCCAGCGCTGGACTGGCCGAGGCTGGGCCGCGCCTCAGCGCTGGAGGAGCTCGGTCGGCTCGGGAGGGCGCGGCGCGAACCAGGGCCTGAGTGGGGCCGCGGCCTCCCGGGGCGCGGGGCCCCGGCTGCTGCCTTCCATGGACCCCTCTCGCGCGGGGGCAAGTGCGGGCGGCTACCCCAGCCCTCGGAGGTCGTGCCACCTATTGTGCCTCGTAGGAAGCCAGACCCTGAAAGGTGTGTGGGGCGGAGAAAGGCATAGGTTTGGCACCAGAGGTGGGGTGGGGGGGCGACGACTGAGAAGAAACAATCGACCACATGTGTGTTTTCCTAAGAATCCCTGTGAAGCGAGTGCCAGGGTCAGCTCCTCGGAGCCTCAGGTCTGCGCTCGGGGTGGAGAGCAGGCAGGAGACCCGTGCTGTGAGTCGGGTCCGGGAGCGCGCCTGGCCGCACCAGGATAGGCCCTTTCCGCCACCAGCCGGTGTTTACACATCCCTGCCTCTCCGGGCTGCGGAACTCCCAGGCAGCCCCGCCGCCTGACATTCTTCCCGGGGGGGGGGGGGGTTAGTGCCCAGCCCTGCCTCCTGGGCACAGAGGTATCTGCCAGAGGTGGCCGCCCATGGAGCCAGCTGTATTCGCCCCGGTGCTGCGCGCCCACCTTTCCCTGGAGTGGACCCAGCTGGGCTCCACGCGGTTCCTCGTCTCCACTCCCGGCACGCCAGCGCCTTCTGGGACCTGCTGTTACCCAGCTGCGGGAGAATCGGCCCAGGCACCGAGTCCCAGAGGGTGGAACGCGTCTCTGCTTTCCGAACCTCGTGGTTTCTTTGTTTTCCTCCCCAAGGAAGTGTCTAGTTGCAGAGACTGTAGTGTTTATTCACCGTCTTTTTCCACCCCCACCCCTTAAAAAAAAATCTCCTTCCCGCTTTAACAGTGTTTTGTATTTCTGGATCCGGAACAGCTGTGATTATCAGATGAAACATAAGCCTTCTCCTCTCCTTTATTCAGTTAGAAGAAAAGGGCTGAAAATGACCTGATGTAAGATTTGCATGCAGGCGGCGAATGATCACTTCCACTTAAATCCTCTGGCTCATTTTCGATCATGAGAAAATAGTTGTGGTTTTGGCTAAAATAACCCCAGCTGAGTTTCAGCACTGGCAGGCAAACGTGATGCCGAACAGGTGCGGCCCCCCGCCCCCGAAGTCAAAGGAGCGTATTTGGTCAAACATACAGGGAACCCAGCAGTTTTTGTTTTTGTTTTTAGGGTGGTAGAAGTACGTCGGCGGGAGACTGAATTTCCTGCTTTGTTGTAGTAAAGCAAACGCTTGGATTATATGCTCCCAATTCAGCACCCCGATCCTGGACAGCACCCTCAGGACAGTTTCAGTACTTTAAATCTTGACCTGGAGCGGGAGGGCCTTTTAGGGATCACTGTATCACTGATCACTAGGGGCAGGGCTGCTTTTAAATTGTCGCACAGAGACGAGAATCGGTGGGGTACTTAATATTCCATCAGAGAAGAAAGTCATCTAACCAGGCATAGTATGGTTTTGACCGGGAGTTTTGAAAAGAAAAATCAAGGCGTTGACTGATTGCATGCCTGGGATTCTCTATCATCCCTTGACTTTAGAAATCTAGGTCCCAGTGCGAGTATTCACACTCTCTTCCAGGGTTCCAAGAAGAGCATGTAAATACTGTCACAGGCTTGGGCAGATCAATGTGTCTCTTTCCTGTTGGTTGACTCCATATATATGTCTTTAAAAAGATCAATCTACTTTGTAATAATAATGAAAAATAATATAATGATAGTTAAATATTATTGCTATATAAACTCTGAAGATTGTTTCTAAGCACTGGGAGTTGTGGAGAAGTTTTCAGTATACCCAACCTGCAATCAACTCCTTAGGGGCAAAAAAAATCATTTGATTTTTACAATTTGTAAAACTGAATGTTGTTGGCAAATGTCAAAACTTTAAAGCAATGTCTTTTAAAAGTAACTTCAAATATCATTGGTTTTTGAAGTTGAAGAAAAATAATATATAGCACTTTCAGATTTGATTATAACTTTTAGAGGAGTTAAGCAGGGATAAGAATTGTCATAATTTCACTTCAATAATGGCACATAATTCTAGTATGGAATTCTGAATAAAGGCCTTAATATAAGTATTAAAATACAATGTTCATATACTTTCCCATTTATTTATTTCTAGTCTGTAGATTTGGGATTCTAATGAAAGAAGATTACTTGGGATTAGAATTTGACTGTATTTTTAGCTTGTTGTTTGTAATTTAACACATACACTGTTTTGTCTTCAATAAGTGTATCAAGACAGAATTGAAAATTATATGCAAATATCCAAATAGAATTGTTATAATGGATCATTCCATTATAAGAGGAAAGGCAATTACCTCCTCTTTCTTCCTCCCTCTCTCTCTCTCCCCCCATCTTCTTCCCTTCCTCCCTTTCTTCCTTTCTTCTTGTCCTTCCTTTCTTGGTTGTGCTGGGTATCAAACCCAGGGCCCTCTGCATACTAGGTAAGCACTCTAACATTGAACTATATCCATAGTCCCATGATATTATTTTACAGCTTTTGATACTCCACTGAGGTTTCTTTAATAGTCTTAATCAGGGCTGGGGATTTAGCTCAGTGGTTCTGCCACCTGCCTTGAAAGTGGAAGGATCCAAGTTTGATACCCGGTACCAAAAAAAAAAAAAGAAAAAAAAATTAAGTTTAGGCCCAGGGATTTAGCTCAGTGGTTTCGCCGCCTGCTGCGCAAGCACAAGGACCTGAGTTTGATCCCCGGTACCAAAAAACAAATAGTTTTAATCCATGCAAGTATCCTAGAAAAACAAACTCTGTTAAGAATTCTGTTCATATGTTTCATAAATATTAATTACACCATGCTAGGAGATTTACAATTAGTTACCATACCAGTCCTCTGATAGACATTCTCATTTTAAAGATAAAAGAGTTGACGCTGAGACAGGTTAAATAGTTTTTGATGTCTAGGAACCAAAGTTGAATGGAGGTCTCTGTGACTCTGGAAACCATCATCCTATGTAATAGCCTCATCCTTTTAACATGGAGTATTTTCTATTTGAATAAGACACTTTAAAAAGAAGATACTTTTCATTTTAACATGATTAAAATTTAGTAAAATATGTATTTTAAATGTGACAAATCAGTAGAATTAAGCTTTTATTACTTGGTATAATTTGGTATAGTTTCCATAAATAACTACTTATGTATTTTCTTTTAGGTGTTGATACAAAATTGAAGTTCACTCTTGAGCCATCATTAGGTCAAAATGGTTTTCAGCAGGTAACTTTATTTTTGGCTTGGAATACACTCATTCTGGGGAAAAAGCAGGGTACTCTAAAATATATACATATACATATATATATA